TATATTAACTTTATCTCTTAACTTACAATTCATAATCTGTTGATATTCCGTGATGCACATTATCGAGTTGCTAATGGCTTCCAGATAGACCACCATGATCCAAAACACCAAAATTGGGCATATCCGTACTGTTTGTTGGTTCATAACTTGTAAAAATCATATCTGACCGATACTCCTTTGGAATATATAAGTGTTAAAAAAACATGCTAAGACAAAGATAAATTTAAATTTACCACTCGGCGTGTGAATTATGTAAACTTGGGGAGAAATTATGTCCTCGCTCCTCATTCGCCCGTGGAGATAAGCTTAGATCTAGCCAAACACTTTCAAACGGAATCTGTTCGAATAAAACTGCTCCAAAATCACAACCTGATAATTGAGGATTATCCCTATTTTGCGGAACCTCAATATTGCGAACGTCTTCTGACTTGACGTACATTTCCAGCATTTTTATCATAAGAAGTTCCCGGTGTTCATCCGGAGTACTCAAAAAATCTTTCAGAGTTTCATCGCTTTCGATGTTAAACTCAGCATAACAAGCAGCCCTTTGCGGAGTAAGAGAATATGGATATCTTTCGGTTACTTTAATATTAACCGAACGTTTCCTCACACTCATTTTTTTACATATCAACGATACAAATCTATCATACTCCAATGTAAGTGGCAACTTAACAATACATTGTGAAGAACAACTATAGTGTACTGAGTTATTCTCCACGACAATCTCACCCCCCAATATAATGCAACCCTGAGTTTTCGCTCTTCAGACATTATGGCAAAATGCGTAAAGAGTTAAGTAAATAAATATTTTAGAATGAGTAAAGGAAAATAAAAAGGGTGCAGAAGACTGAATTTTTAAAGATAGAATGAAGCTCTTTAAATAAGCAAAAAGATGTGCGGGTGGAGGGGAGGTACAATAAGTGGAGGGTATAGCGCATTAACTAAACGTGCTATATACCCACTAATTATTGTGGGTCAGTCAATTAAGAGTATAGCACATGGATGGTATGCGCTATATCTTAACGGACAAAAGTACAGTTAAGGTATAACTCATCCCATCCATGCAGTATATATAAATGGTCACAGGTTGTTTATTTCACACATTTTAGTACTTTGAGTCCAAAAAAAACCAAACTTTAGTTCTGGACTCCGACAAATTTAGGGGAGAAAGGAGGTATTTACTTTCCCCAACTCGAGAAAGCATAAACATCCAAACTCTTTGTACATTTCACCAGTGGTGAAACTAGAAGTAAAGATGGAGGCACCTTAGGCAAAGTAGTGTTACTTCGCCAGCTAGTGTACCAAAATTATAGCCAGATTGTTGTGCCTTCGTCTCTTTCATTTGTTAAAATAGTGATGATGTAACTATTTATTTAGTAAAGCTATGATGAATTTCATCTCAAAAAATAAAAAAGATTGTCAAGGAAAATATACTTGAATTACTTTTTATGATATTATTCAAACATTTTTTACCGACTTGTTTGCATTTTTGAATATAACACCACTTACCAAGAATTCTACAAATGCCACTGACCGGAAGACCATGCAATAGGGAGGAAAAAGTATACTCTATGAAGCAACAGTACTCCCGAATTCCAAGCTTTACTTTCACTGTGACTGCACATGGCTTTTTTTTCTTCTTAAAGTAAATGGTACTTCCTCCGTTCACAATAAGTGACCAATTTGCTTTTTTTATTTTGGATCAAAATAAGTGTCCAGTTATGTAATCAAGAAAGAATTCGATTTGTTTTTACAAAATAACCCCTATGTACATATCCCAAAAAAGTTTTCTTACTCCTCACATTAAATGTTTAATTAGGGGTAGTTTAGTCATAGTAGGTATTTTTGTATAGAATTTAGTATTTTCTTAATGGGCGTGCTAAAAGCAAATTGGTCACTTATTGTGAACCGGAGGGAGTAGTTTTACGAGATGAATTTAGCTAACTGGAAACCTAGTTAAGCCATGGCTACAGCCTACAAGCATTTCAATTTTTACTAACAAAAGAGAAAGGTAACATATTGTAGACAATGAAATTTTAACGGATCAAGCTAAATCCTAAATTCAAGATGCTACAAACCGATACTCTAAAATGAACTTCTCGGATGAAAAGACCTCCGGACGGCTTGAATCTAACTAAAATAACTTAAAAGCACAAATAAAACTCATAAGAAACTATTCCAGATCATAAAGCCTCAATCTTTATCAAATTCTAAAAATCAGTCCAAAAGTCGACCCCCGGGCCCGCACCTCGGAACCCGACAAACTTCACAAAATCCGAACACCCATCCCAGTATGAGTTCAACCATACAAAAATGATCAAATTCCAATACCGTTTCGTCCCTTAAATCATGATTTTTCATTTTGAAAGTTTCTTATAAATCTCCATTTTTCCTCAACCTAAAACACTAATTAAATGATAAAAATAAAGACAAAATCATGGAATATAATAAATTCTAGGTGAAGAACACTTATCCAATTGTTTTGCTTGAAAAACCTACAAAGAATCACCCAAAATCGAGCTTTAGAACTCCAAAAATGGTGAAAATGGCAAACCCTCGGAATAGAGTACTATTTGTTCTGCCTAGATCTTAAAGCATCGCAAATGCGGAAGGATGCACGCGTTCGGGAAGAAGAAAAATGAAGGCTGCCAGGATGACCCTACGCGAACGTAAGAAGGCAACTGCGAACGCGAAGAATAGAAATGCAGAAGTATGCGATCGTGGAACAAAGCTCGTGAACGCGACGAACAAATGATTCCTCCTCCGAAATAACACTACGCAAACGCGATTAAGGAAACCAAATGGCAGAAACTAGCAGTTCAAAAATAGAAGAAAATGGCCCGTGGCCCATCCGAAACACATCCGAGGCCCCCATGACCCCGTGTAAACATACCAACAAGTTCTATAACCTAACACGGACTCGCTCAAGGTCTCAAATCACATCAAACAACGCCGAAATGACGAATCGTGCCATGAATCGAACCTATGAACTTTTCAATCTTCCAACTTCTAAAACTCGTGCCGAAACCTATCAAACCAACCTGGAATGACGTCAAATTTTGCAGGCAAGTCCCAAATGATATAACGGAGCTGTTCCAACTCTCGGAATTGCATTCCGACCCCGATATAACAAAAGTCAAATATTGGTCAAACTCCTCCATCTTCCAAACTTCAACTTTTCCTAATTTCGCCGAATTACTTCAATTCAACCCACGGACCTCCAAATCCAAATTCGGACGTACGCCTAAGTCCAAAATCACAATCCGAGCCTATCGGGATCATCGAAACTCCAATCCAAGGTCAAATACTCAAAAGCCAAATTTTGGTCAATTCTTTCAACTTCCAACTTCTCAAATAAAAGTCACTTCTAAAATTTTTTCCGAACTTCTCAAAAACACGTAACGATGATGCTCGCAAGTCATAATACACTGTGTGAAACTACTCGTGACCTCAAATTGCCGAACCGGACGCAATTGCTCAAAACGACCAGTCGCATCGTTACATTGGCATAACGCGCCCCAAGTGCAAGGCTCACACGACTAGCTATTAGCTCGGGGATAGAGTGAACCCCTGATAAGTGCTTCATTGCGCCTAGCTAGGCGGTGAGGGGATAGATAGTTCAATGTGCTCATCGACGCCTAATCCCGAGATGTGGATCGTCTAAGACACATTAGCATGGCATAATCCTCTTATTTTAACCAGAGTTTGAAACCAAATTCCTTCTCAGGAGGATAATTGGGGCAATTCGAGTACGATCTAATATAGATCCAACTTTCAATTAGCAAGAAAATATTGACCCAGAAAAAGAATATCAAATGAAAATTTGCTACTCTTTGAATGTTAATTCAAACCGTAAGACAGATAATCGTAAGATGTATTTCTTTATTTGTAGATTTCATTCCTTAAGTGCAATTAATAACCGATGTCTTTAAATGACATTCCCAAAAATGTTACTCCTACTTCATATGCTGTATGTTCCATTTAAAAGCTAGGACAAGCCACGTTCTTCTTTTCAACTCGCAGCGGATACTAGCTTCTCAAGAATAATTTCGAGGGAGAAAAATATAATATAATTTTTGAAATAATTTTAATGGAAATAATAAAAATCTCAAAATCCATGCAACAACACACTGTTAGCTTCCTTACTGCTCAATAAAATATGAATAAGTAGTAAAATCAAATTAAATCAACTATGTAATCAAGTTCATAAAGTTTCAATCCTAACCTTAGGACAAATTATCATACCAACATAATTACTTAATTAATTCTAAAAAGATTGCATCTACCTTAGGAAAACCAAAACTAAATCAACAATGTAGTCAAAGTTTAGGGCCCGCTTATTTAATACTTCACTTTCAAATAATATTACTTTATTTGCTGAAGTTTATTTCACAAGTTTTTAAAATAGCCGTTTGAAGGGTATTTCACATGCTTAATGAAATGTCAATTCAAATGTTATGACATGGACTAAACTCACATATTTGAATGAGGCTTTAAGATACTAACTCAATTTCATTCCTTATTAGTAGCAATTTATTTTGAATGTTATAATCTGTTATGTAATCAAGACTGCAGTATTTGAAATTTTTTGAAAAAATTCCCTTTTTTTTCTGTTTGTATTTGGCTTTATTATAACAAGTTCAACTTGGATAATAGTGAAAAACAAAGGGGAAGCGTGACCTTTTTTCTGGCTGCACTAAAGTCAAGACAGATTTACAAAAGGACCTTCAAATTCGAATTCAAAATTACTCAATTAAAACGACAGCTCGGTCATCACTCGCTTACCCATATGGCTTCACCTGATTGGTCGTTCACATTTTCAATTGAAAATTCAATTCAAACAGAAGATCCTCAGTGGGCCCAGTCCTTGTCCGCTCCTAACGAATACCTAATGTCAATCCAACGGCCCAGATCTTCCTTCATTTCAAATCACCCCTTTTTCCCCGCCTAGCACTATATATTATTCGTTTATTAATTGACTTTATATATCAGTTCACAATTTACACACACATACTTGTAACAGCTTTCTTCTTCTTCTTGAGGAAGCGCTGATGAAACATTGGGCCTAGTTTTCTACACAATTACAGTTGTTGCCACTGAGGGGAATTATTTCGGAGGAAGAAATGGCGACGACCCAAAATAGACGTAATTCAGTTTCGAGTGCGGTGGCAAAGCGGCAAGCGATGGCGGAGAATAATCACGGGAAATTGCCGGCGGGTGGGGCCAAGAAACGACCAGCCCTCACTAATATCAGTAATCATACAGCTGCTTCCGCTCGTAACTCGCTCTCTCACTCCTCCAAACTCGTACGTTTTTTTCCTTCATCCATTTTTGACAATGTAAATTTTATACCATATAGAACTTGTTAATTATATGTATTTTTACTGTAGGGAAAAATTGTTGGTCTTTCTCCTGTGATGTTTCTATTTGGTATTTAATTACTAGTTCGATAACTTTTTTTCTTATGCTGTTTATGGAATTTTCGGAGGGTTTTTCTTGATAAATTTGTATATCAGATGGTTTATCTTAATTTTTTCTTTCTCTAGAAAATAGTTCTATTTTTCTCGTTTTTTTTGTATGTGTGTGTGTTGTTTATGTAAAGTTTTTGGGAGGTTCTTTCTTGAATTAAATACTGTAAAAAGGTAAAAAAAAATGACTGGACAATTTGGGTTGAATGACTTTGAGAAAAATCATGAAATGGGATATGAGGCTGTTAGATAGGAGAGGATTGCGGAATTTATTTTTTGTCAAGATTTTGATTCGCAAGTTGAAATTCTTTGTTATTGACTTTCCTTCTATAAACAAGTTCCGTGTTACAGAAAATGCGTCAGTTTTGTTATTGAAATTCTTTGTTATTAGATTTAAACAAAAAATTAGTTTGGAAGAAAATATATTCTTTTAATGATAAAAAGGCATTATGAAAGGAAAATTTGAAACATCTTCCCCAAATCGTGCTTCTTGTCTCCTTTTTTTTATCTGCCAACTTTGCTTTTTTAATATTTGAAGAAATTTCATTTCTAACATATCATTAGAGCTGAAGGTTTTCAAGGATTTTATTATTGTACTTAAATTGTTAGGTGTTTTTACAGATGAGCAGTTAGTTTTCAGTTGTCAAACCTTTTGTGTAATAATCTGTTTTGCAATGTGAGTCTTGTTCTGCCTCCGCTATTATTATTGAAAAAAGATCATTTCTTGTTTCTGAAGTTGAGGCTAACTTGGAATAATTTTTGGTTTTGAAAGGCACCATGTACATCTAAGGTTGTAAGCATTAAGAAGAGCAATAGTAATGCAGCTTCCTCAGTTGTGCCAACATCATCCTCCTTTGTCAAACCAATCAGCAAAACTGTGTCTCTTCCAAGAAGTGATGCAGTTGTCCCTAAGATCACTGCCATTCCTCTTCCTGCCACTAGCAGCATGGACATTTCTCCGTCTCACTCGGACGGATCATCAGTCTCCATGGATGAATCTATGTCAACTTCTTCCGACACACTGAGAAGTCCAGATGTTGAGTACATTGACGACAACCAAACAGCTGCATTTGATTCCATTGAGAAGAAGGCGTTTAGCACCCTCTACATCTCAGAAGATGTTAAAGCAGCAGGTTTTGTGCTTTGATAACTTTAACAGATTCTTTTACCTTCTTGTTTGATATTTTCAGCAGAGAGTAGTCAGTCTTTCATTGAATGTGAAATGGATATATCCTTGATCAAACATTTTATTTCTTTCAAATATTTTTTGTTTTATATAATGAACTTATCTGTTTTTGATTCCTGCAACAGATATATGCAAGAGGGATGTACTCGTAGACATGGAATTAGGGGATAAGATTGCCAACATTGATAACAATCTTGTTGATCCACAATTATGTGCTACAATGGCCTGTGACATATACAAACACTTGAGAGCCACAGAGGTATAAAGATGTTTATACTTAGCTCTTTTCAGTTCTTTTGGCTCCTTAAATTAGATGCTACTGCCAACTTTAACCACTTAGTACATTGAAAAGTTTACAGTTGTTGCTTGAAATTATAATCGAATTGAAGTATTAGAAGGATCAACATTTGCTGCAATTTGCCGTGTATGTTTTAACGTTAGCTTTTGGTCATTATACTAGGTAAAGAAAAGGCCTTCCACAGATTTCATGGAGAAAGTTCAGAAGGACATAAATGCTAGCATGCGTGCTATCTTGATTGACTGGCTTGTTGAGGTAAACTTCTAATGTCTTTCTTCCTAACGCTGTCCCTGACAATATCAGAGTGCTGGAACTTATGACTTAAATAGATGTCGATAAAGCTCAGCAACTCCTGAGTTTGATGTAGAATTTGTTGCCACCACTATGTGTAGGTTGCCGAGGAATACAGGCTTGTCCCAGACACATTGTATCTGACTGTTAACTACATTGATCGATATCTCTCTGGCAATTTGATGGACAGGCAACGATTACAGTTGCTTGGAGTAGCTTGCATGATGATCGCATCGTAAGAAACTACTCTTCTTACTTTCTCAAATATACCAAACATTTCTGGAAGAAAATGCTGTAAGACTAATACATTAATACGGGAAATGCTATATTGCAGCAAATATGAGGAGATCTGTGCGCCTCAAGTAGAAGAATTCTGCTACATAACAGACAACACTTACTTCAAGGAGGAGGTACATGAGTTTTGGTACATGAGTTTTATTTACAGGACTATGCAGTTTCTAAACATTTCAATGGCACTAAGCACTATGTATTATGCAGGTCTTACAAATGGAGTCTACCGTTTTAAATTACTTGAAGTTTGAAATGACAGCCCCAACAGCCAAATGTTTTCTGAGGTCACTGTTTAATATTTTACCATTACCCAGTAGTTGCTTTTAACTATGATGATTTAGGCACTTACGTTGACATATATTTCAGGAGGTTCGTTCGTGCTGCTCAAGGACTTAATGAGGTAATCTCTTCACATAATGTTTATAGTTCTCCAACATATTTTATATAGGAAACAGAAAAGAAAATATCAGTTTTGAGTTCATAATTCACTCTTTTTTGGCCCTTCGCCTCATGAATATGAATGGAAGAGTTTGATTAAAATCTTATAATCTTCTACAGGTTCTGTCACTGCAGTTGGAACACTTGGCCAGCTACATAGCAGAACTCTCTCTTTTAGAGTACAACATGCTTTGTTATGCTCCATCAGTCATTGCTGCTTCTGCAATTTTCTTAGCCAAATATATTCTTCTCCCCTCAAAGAAACCTTGGGTATGTACGAATTAGCATTGACAATCATGTAAATGGTTATAATGTATTCTCCCTTCTTAATAAAATTCGACTTCTGTAAACTCCTAATACAGAACTCTACCTTGAGGCATTATACTCTGTATCAACCCTCTGATTTACGAGACTGTGTCATGGCACTACATAGCCTTTGCTGCAACAACAACAATTCTAGTTTACCAGCAATCAGGGAAAAATACAGCCAGCACAGGGTAATCTTTAATTCTGATCTCTGAATTTCTTTTCTTCATCCTACTTTCCTAGCCCCATTTGCTCTTGCCCAACTAGGAGCTGAATGCTCAGCAAGCAATTTAAAATGACACTGTTTTGATTAAAAATATAAGTAGAATAAAGTCATAACATATGGTAGGCATCTGCATACAATTACTGCTCTGATTATGTGATTTTTTTGAAACAGTACAAATTTGTTGCAAAGAAGTATTGTCCTCCAACAATACCTGTAGAGTTCTTCCAGAACATAAGCTGCTAAGCAGAGAGGAGGAGGCATCAACTTCACTCTTCCAATTCTCTGTTGGATTCAATTCAAGGCATTGGCATCAACTTCATTTCAACGGTGCTTCATTCGTCACAGATCAAGCCATCAACTTCTCTTTGCATGGCCATAGGAGAGCATCTTTGTTGATATTCATTTAACATTGACTTTGCAGGATTAGTCTTGTTTACCCTACTTTTCTTCTCTAGTTTAGATTCTCTAGTCAGTGTGTGTACAGAAGAGCTGTTGGCAGCTCCCTTAACTCAGAAACTATTCAGTAATTCCTTCTCAGGAACTATTGCAGTTTTAAGCCAATTAGGGTTGAGATAATAACAATAATTCATTTCCAAGCAAGTTGAAATCTTATATACAAATTTTTCACTCGGCTTGAGAAAACAATTCATATTCAACTGACCTCTAAATCATAGGAAAATGGCAAAACAATGGAAAATTTTATTTTGTGTCTCATACAACTGACATTAGTTTTGTGGACCCAGGAGTGTAAGATTGTCCACAAATTTGTGAGACAAAAAGGAGTCTTACACAACTAATGTAAGTTGTATGAGACACACAATAAAACTTCTCGCAAAACAATTCATATTCAACTGATCATTTATTTTACATATAGTACATACACAAAATACAAACCACAAAAGGGACACTCACTGAGCACACTCAATCTTGGCTGAACCTAAGCCAAGGGATGCATGAACTACACTAACATTAGGCCTAACATTAAGCCAGTGACAATCTTCAAAAGAACAAGGAGATCCACCGTTAGGCCATTCAACATCCACAGGTTTCATGAAAGTGGGTCCCCAAGCAGGGGTCCCATCCTCGTATGAATTGTGAGTCATTCTCCGAATTTCTGAGCCGTCTGATTTGATCACAAAGATATCACCATATGGCTGATAATGATGAGGGTTTGCTATGGGCTCAGCTGACACTGCTGCGTAGTCTGATGTAAACACTATATACTTCCCATCCGGGCTGAAGTACGGGTGGTTCGTCCGCCCACCCGTACCACTCTGGATCACCTTCCGGAGACCTGTTCCATTCGGGTGAACCATAAACATCTCGAAACTACCAGACCCGGGATTCTCTCGATCAGATGCAAATGCGATCCAATCCCCATCGGGTGACCAATTACACATGGTATCCGTCCACGGACCCTTCGTGAGTCGATAAAGCCCACCCGTCTCGCCTTCCAAAGCATCCATAACGTACAAGTTCTTGTGACCCGACCGCCCGGACCGGAAAACAATCCATTTTCCATCGGGTGAAGGCGATGGAAACGCATTATTCTGCCCTCCTGTTGTCAATTGTTTGTAACTTAGGTCCTCATCGTCAACATTAATGGAAATAACATCAACTTCCGTTCTTTCACTAGCAAATGTGGGCCCAACGCTAGTGTAAACTACTCCTTTTCTTTTCGGGTCCCACGCTGTGGAAAAAGCCATTCTTGTTGAAACTTGACGCAAACCTGAACCGTCATAGTTTACCACGTATAAACCCGGTAACTTCACATAAGCTATCCGGTCACCACTCGGTGAAAATGACGGAAATGACCCGTCAACTCGAAACAAAGAAATTCCGGGTATCGGGCTTTTAAGATTCTCGAATAACAGTGTATCACTCCCTCTTCCGTTGCCAGTGCCTCTACATTTATGGTAGCCGACCCACGAGGAATCGGGTGAGAAGAACGGGTTCAGATGATGGGCATGAGGAGAAGCGGGTCGGGTTATTTCTGTAAACTTCTTCAAAGCGACATCGAATAACTCAATATGCCGATATTCTGAACTTGCTCTTCTAGTAGCTACGGCAATGAGATTCTTGTTAGCAGTAGAAGCTGCTGGTGTGAACGCGTGCAAACCCGGTGGTGTGACTCGGTGAGTCGAGACGGAGTCAACGCCGAGTTGACCAGCTTTCGGAAGAACAGCCTTGAACACACTCCACCACCCGTCATCACACTTTCTGTGAAAATATAGAGTAAATTCATCAGCCCAAGCGGGCCATCCGCCGTGCTCCACCACCTTGACCCGGCCCGACCCATCACGAGTTGAGAACACGTAGATATCCGTGTCGAGCTCCTGAACATCCCCAGTCCAACCCTTCTTCCCGTACGACGCCACCGCCGTCCAAACGCCCGACGGAGACACTGCTGGGCTAAAATCAGCAACTCCTTTAGGGGTTAACCTCCGTGCCGACCCGGAACTCAATTGGGTCGAGTACACCGCGGCCCAGCTCGTCCGGGGTACACCCGAGTCCTCATGAGTCGACACGTATATCAATGATTCCCCCACTAAACTAGGCTTATCTTTCAAAGAAACATGAGCACCCACCAAAGGAACCTGAATTCGAGTCGACTCAGTCCGAGCTGGAAAATCAAGTATGGCTCTCCGAGAAGTACCGTGGAACACAGCGTCATAAAAAATATGGTGGGTGCCGTTCCGTTCCGTCACGTAAATAAGATGAAATGGCGGTGTTTCCTTGTTGAGGCAATGATCGGGTAGGCGCGAAATCAGGGAAGGTGGTAGGGTTGCGGGGAAGTAGCCGTTAAAGTTAACGGAATTGCCGTCCGTCAACTGCAGTTCGTTGGATTCAGTTGGCGAGTATACTGGAAGAGCGAAGATGTCAAAAGCATAGCTTGATCTCCCCAAGGTAGTGAATATGATGCTGGTGTGGGCGTTGAGGTTATCATGGGCAGCAGATGCAGGGGATAATAACAAGGTTAACACCAAGCTGAGAAGGAAGAAGAAGATGAACGGGGAGAGGTATTGTGTTTGTGTGGATTTCATTGTTGATTTATTTGTGGGAAAATCCGAGCAGCTGAATGGTTTATGTATGTATGTCTGTGAAATTGTAATGAGTGGCGAGTGATGAGTGATTAATGATTTTGTAAGAGATGACGATTTGACTTTGACATAAAAATTTAACTTTCATACTAGTAACTTATAAAAAAAAAAAGGGAGTTTGACACAGTTACCCACAAAAATAAAACTATTTCTCCTTGTCTACCCATTTGTTTTTTTATCTATAAACTAATTATATTTCCTACCCATAATAGTTTTTGTGGGAAATTTTTTTTCTTTATTCTCTAATTCTTTTTTATTTCTATGATTCTTTTCTTTTTTCCTGTTTTTTCTTTCTTTTCTCCTTTTCTTTTTTCTCATTTTCTTCCTATTTTTTTCTTTTTTCTCTTTTATTTATTTACTTTTGTCTAAATTGTATTATTGTTATTTTTACCATAACTTATTTCACACTCAAAATTTGACTCCTTCTTTATTTTTTTATTTTATTTTTTCTTTATTTCTTGTTCCTTTTTCTAATTTTCACGTGATTTGCCATGCAAATCCATTGATCTGCCCTTCCCTACAAAAATATCACGTAATACTTACCGATTAGCTTAGTAACATCTAACCAGTCGATGGAGCAAGAAAACATAATCTAAGGCACTAAATCTCCATTATATACTAGTTAGAATTAGAAATGATAATAAAATATTGAAAAATGGAATAAAAATGTAAGTAGCAAAAAAGACTTGTAGTACCATATGATACCAATATGGTATACAAGTATACCAACAGAGTATATGATTGCTCTTAGAATATTGTTACAACTATCTTTGTGACTATACTACTGTACCAAAACAATTTAAGGATACAATAAAAGTATGAGAAACATTCACATGCTCACAATTGCAAGCTAAATATTCGCAAAGCAACTTGCTCATTCCATATACGAAACATGGTATATATAGTTGTATGGGTCGTTCACAAAATTGCCTATAATTATAAAAACTATTACTAATCTATATCCACTCAGCAAAACAAATATCAGCATTGTAAATCAAGTTCATATAAGATTATTCAGAATTGAATTCACTTAAAAATGCAGCCAAGACACACCAAAAAAATGTTCAACATTATTCAATATGATACCAATATGGTATATAACTATCAACATGGTATATAGTTTTAGCTGATTAATTCCTCTGGCAACTATTGACTATACTTACTATTACATAACACACATGCGTTAAAGAGAAAAAATAAAAAAAATAGTGTACCACATGATTAATATAATAAAGTATTTCAAGATATTGTACTAGTATTACTATTATTAAAAGAAAATCAAATATTGTACTATAAATGCAGCTAAGACAACCAAAAAATGATTCAACTAACATATGATACCAAGATAGTATATACTATACTAATAGGTATATTAGATTGGAATGAATTGTATCCAACAATGGTATTATTTGTATACTATTTGAGTTATACAATATTAAATTCGTTCGATTCTTCTCTTGTTCAACTATATTTCAACCCCAAACTTCTAAAATCTTACTACAACATCTACAAATTGACTTAAAACATTAGTTACAACTCCAATCCAACTTTCCCAAACAAACTCATATAGGATCGGATCAAAAACAATTTAAAAACTCAAACAAACCAAGTTATGAGTTTCAAGCTTCAAGCTCCTTCAATGGTGGATTTGAATTTTTGTCAAATATTTGAAAATTACCATTAATATCATAATCAAAGAACAATACCCAATAAATTCCAACAGCAAACACTTCAACACACATGAAAATTCAAATTTTTGTTATATAGTACATATTTTTTTTTTTACTTTTAGAAGATAAAATAAATTATGGAGCACAAATTAAAAAAAAAGGTGATGGTAGCAAAAAAAGGTACAATACTAACAACACTATCCACTGTTGAAAAAAGCTAACTATTCTTTGGCTTCTTTTTAGGATTCACACTTTTGTTACTTAAACTGGATATGTCCATCGCAAGAATTGAATGAGCGGGTAATTAGTTCTACTAGAATAGGTATTTAATATAATTACTTTTAAGATGGGTAGTTACGGATAATTACTTTTAAATGGGTAGGTATATAGGGTAGTTTTCCCTAAAAAAAATCTTACTTATGTTGATTACTTTATCTTATTTCCTACTCCTATTTCCTTATGTAAAGGAACATATCTACTTTGTAAAAAAAAATTAAATGCAATCTGCTTCCTAAAAGTTAAAGAAACTCATTTTCTTATATACTTGTTTACCTTAAAAATTGGATAACAATTAAACTTATACTGTAATATGGTTTTAAGGATATGTGATTTCACCTAATACCAATTGATAAACGTAAAGATAAGTGATGCAAATTGACAATAATATAAAGCAAACCAGCGTTTGGACAAAGCCCTCGAGCTCGGACACCCTTGAGCTAGTTACGCAAGAATAGTTAAAGGCACAATAAGCTGATGAACAAGAAAGTAAGCTGAGAAATATTGTATTACTTAGATTCGTAAATGTAAGATCTTTACAAATGATAGGACTCCCCTTTATATAATAGAGAAATCCTAATTATAGTATAACTCTAATTACAAAAGTAAATCTCACAATTAGTCTAAACTATCGCCCTTGATTTGATCTGTTCCGGGATTTTCGCCGTGATCTCCGATCGGTTACGGATATCTCGCCTTTCCTTTATTGCGTTTTGCTCGAAGTCTGTCATATTTGGTCTCGATCGTTGTTGGCCTCTATCTCGACGAGCACCTCGATTCTCGAACTCGGCACCTTGTCTTCGTGCTCTGGCCTGATCCATTACGAGGCTGACCCTTGACGTGATCTCCTAGTCTCGATTAAATAGAAAAATCGGGCAAGCCCGATTTTAACGGTATACAATATAAATATCTTATAAAAAAATCGCGTTCACTCAAAAATGTATATAATATAATTTTCAGCTATTATTAATAATTACCTAACCATTTGATTATAAACACTGGTACGGTTTCTATTACGAATAAGTATAACAAATATTGACAAAAAATTTCGTAATAAATATGATTTGTATGTATTATTGGTGAAATTTGATTCTCTGCTGAAGATATCCTAATCAGGTCAACAACTGTGGTTGCTATTTGACTTCCTGCTTTTCCTTCGATTCTGGTTCCTTTGTTGATGTTAGTGTCGATACTGGTATCACCTCATCAATTGCAAACATCTCTTTGGCTGCTGGTTGTTTGCCGTACACCGTTTTGATTTCTTCTGGTGTTGAGAATTTCAAGGCTTGATGAAGCATTGAAGGTACTGCCCTCATATTATGGATCCAAGGTATCCCGATTAGCGCGTTGTATCTCATATCACCTTCGATTGCATGGAACTTTGTTTCCTGGATAGTTCCGGCCATGTTCACTAGCAACATGATTCCCCTTTGGTGGTTTCACTTGCCATGTTGAAACCGTTGAGCACTCGAGCTACAAGCACGAATTGATCCTGAAGGCCGAGCTGCTCTACGAGCCTCAATCGAATAATATTTTCCGAGCTACCTAGATCAACCAACACATGTTTAACTTGAATTTTATTCATAAAGATAGATATTACCAGTGCGTCGTTGTGAGGCTGTTCGATTCCTTCTGCATCCTCATCGTTGAAAGATAAGGTATCCTTTGGTAAGTAATCCTGAATAGGTTTCCCCTTGTGATTGTCACTTTGGTGCGTTTGAATATCGGGCCTAGAGGAACATCGATCCCACCAACGATCATATGAATCACGTGCTACGGTTCTTCCTGCTCGTTTTTCCTGTTTGCGTCCCTGTCTCTGAAGTGATTTTTAGCTCGGTCACTTAAGAACTCTCGAAGGTGACCCTTGTTGAATAAACGAGCTACCTTCTCCCTTAACTATCTGTAGTCTTCGGTTCTGTGACCATGGGTTCCATGGTACTTGCACATTTGATTTGGATTCCTTTGAGCTGCAACGGTCTGTAGGGGTCTGGGCCACCTAGTATCCTTGATTCGTCCAATGGCTGACACAATACCTGAAGCATCGACGTTGAAGTTGTATTCCGATAACCGTGGCGCTTCTTTAGGCTCAACATGTTTATCGAAGCCACTTTTACTTATGAGCCCTCGGAAATTTTGACCTCGATCATTCCTTCGATCATCTCGATCCCGGTCCGTTGTTTCTACGATTTGCGTTATAGGGTTGGTACCGATCTCTGTTCGATCGGGGCTCTCTGTCGATGTCTCTTTGAATCCTGCCTTTGGATCTGTTTGGGTAAACGGAACCGGACGGGGCTCCCAACTGATTATCCTCGATTCTAATCTTTGACTTGTATCAATTATGCACATCAGCCCAGGTCACCGCTGGATATTCAATCAAATTCTGCTTTAGTTGACGTGATGCTACCGAACTTCGCTCGCTCAAACCCTGAGTAAAGGCTTGGACAGCCCAATCATCGGTAACCGGGGGTAGGTCCATGCGTTCCATCTGAAATCGAGATACGAATTTCCTTAGCATTTCATTATCCTTTTGTCTCACTTTGAAGAGGTCCAACTTCCTAGTCGCGACCTTTATTGCTCTGACGTGTGCTTTTACGAACGAATCGGCAAGCATGGCGAAAGAATCGATGGAATTGGGCGGCAATTTGTGGTACCATATCATTGCCCCCTTCGATAAAGTTTCCCCGAGTTTTTTCAACAGAACAGATTCAATTTCATCGTCTTCTAAGTGATTTCCTTTTATTGCGCATGTATAAGAAGTTACATGCTCATTAGGATCAGCGGTTCCATTGTACTCGGAATTTCTGGCATGCGGAATTTCTTCGGAATGGGCTTCGGAGCCGCACTTGGTGGGAAAGGCTTCTGTGCGAACTTTTTTTGAATCCTAACCCTTCAGAATTGGGGGTGCCCCCGGTATTTGATCAACCCGTGAGTTGTACGTTTCTACCTTTTTATCATTAGCCTCAATTTTCTTTTCTCCTGATTCAATCCGTTTAGTGAGCTCCTCGAGCATCTTCATGATGGCGGGGTCAGTTCCCGATCCATTATCATTCAATTTCTCCTGTACAGGTTCGACCCTATGAACAACTTCTTGTGATATATCGAGTTCGATTCTAC